CAGTGTGCTTACGTCATCCCACCGTCTATACAGCCATCTAACCGCAAGTCAGTCCCATCTGTAAAAAACTGAAAATGAGAAAACGACGTTCGATTTTGCAAGTTTTCATATTTCATAAATTTCGGAGGAATAATTTTGCATCAATGCTTAGCAAAAAATAGTTGACAAAATATCGTTAATTTTTTAATATATCACCAAAATCTGAATGGGGCTGACTTGCGATTACATGTAAACGTCATTGAAAAAAATAGCCGCAAGTCAGTCACCCATTACGATACTGTATTAGTTTAGTACAGTATTGAACAGTAGAAAGATGCTATGGTTTCATTGAACGTTAATGAATGTTTTTGGAATCGTTCCGCTGGTTTCGGAGCTAGGGCCAGAACATATTCCGGCAAGTATGGGTAATAAGACTAGACATTTTCAGAAACGTCCAAACCAACCAAGCAATAAATCAATTCACATGAGAATTCGAAAATAAAATCATGAGTCATGATGAGTAACCAGCACCATGTTGGCCACACCCGGTCATGCTCCGGGTACGCCCGGGGAAGTAGTAAACCCTTTTTAAATCAAAATTCATCATTCGACACCTCAAATTACATGAGAATTCAAAGCCATAACCATTGGCGGTCAAATCGAGGTCCGTAAGAACTATATTGTCCATATCCAGATATGTTCAAAATACCTTAAGAGAAGTGGACAGAATCTGACTTGAGCCAAATCTCATGATGCGATATGTTTTCTAACATTCTTAAATCTATAGAAGCAAGCCTAAGAACACAGCTATGACGTTCTTTTATGGTTTATTTAATGAAATCATTTTTTTTTTGCTAATGGGACTGACTTGGTATTGTTTTTCATGAAAATTTCATGACCCATACTAGCAGGAATATGTTCTGGCCAATGCTTCGGAACCAGTGCAACGATTCGAAAAACATTCAGTAACGTTCTATGGGACCATGGTATCTTTCCACTGTGCTACACTAATGCAACATTGGCATGGCATTGTGACTGACTTGCGGTTATTTTTCTCATTGACGTTAAATGTAATCGCAAGTTTTTGGTCATTAAATTAAACAATTCACGATATTTAAACAATATATTTTTACTAAACATAGATGGATTTTTTTTTAAAGATAAACTTCGCACGTTTTTCATTTCTTCAATTATATAACGTATCCATGAGGATCCGCTGACATCGTAAACCATGAACACGTGCATCAACCTATCATCATCTTTTTTTTTTTTTTAGTTTTAATTTGTGAGATGTTAGAACATGAGCATATTGAAATAAGTCTTATTCGTGATTTTACAACATTTTAACATCAATGCAATTTGAAACATTTGTTCACTTCCAAAATGCACATTATTTGGCTAGAAATGGCTTAGTTGTAATTTTCCTCAGAACTCGACAATTTGGAATAAAAAAAGAGGGAAGTTACTTGAACTAATTCGAAACATTCGTTATTCCTGTCATCTGACGCAATGTTAATAGGGTTTAGAGCTATTTTTTGGCGTGTTAAGCGCATTCCGCACTTTATCCCTATTTTTAAAACGGATTCTTTTTTTTTTACTTGAATTTTTCCACTATGGGAAGCTAATAAATGTATTTACCTTTCCATACGTACTGCTAGATTTTAAAGAGTAATAAATTGTTGAGATATTGTTGAAAATGTAACACCCCTTCTTGACAGTAAACTCGGCCTACGGGTACGAAATTTGGCCTCACGCATTGAAATTCAATGGCGTTGCACTTCGGCCTATTAAATGGAGAAAAAAGTTGATTCTATCCAATGTCATTTACATAAGGTCCGGGCCAACCGGCTTATTGGTGCTATGAAATGTGCAAATGTTTAGTGGTGTTTGTATTTCATTGCAATTTTTATCTTTATACACGAAACAGCTGTTGGCAGTGACGTAAATCTCACTGTTCGCAGTATGGAATGTTATGGTAGAGTGACGTCGTCACTTGAGTGCTCAGCAATGTTTACAATATGTTTGCTTCAAACACCAGTTGGCCCGGACCTTCTATTAATGTCATTGGATTCTATCGGAGTGCTTCCCAAGTAACAATTTTGGTTTTATGAGGGTTCTGTAGACCATGATTTAGACTTGTAGAATGCTATAAAACCTCGATAAAACCTGCAATGTTACTTGGGCTTTTTAGTTTTCGAGAATAATGAGGATAAACATTCAAGCTGAACTTTGCATTAGATCCTAAGTAACATTGACAGATTCTCTTTGGTACTTGATCGTCCTTTCGACACTAGAATAACAAATTTACATGAAGAGGCAGGCATTCCCAAAATAGGTTCCAGAATTAACGAAATTAATACTAAGTGTGCCCAAAAATGTAATATATCAAAACATGCTTCGATAAGCAATTTGTATATAGTAGTTGTAGGTTAGTTGTAGTTGTAAATAGTAGTTATAAGTAGTTTCCTTTTTCCAATTTTTAAACAAACCAATCCCATCAAGGTGGTCATTCTCTAAAACAGGCCTGATATGACTAGGAATTAAATTAATAATAATTGGAATTTGAAAAAAAAAAACTAAAGTTGAAAAGACGCATATTTGTCACTTGATAACTCATACATGTAAACCACACAAATACAAGAAATAAAGATCATTGAAAGCTTTCCAGTCAGTTGTTGGTAAATCACCAACAGAATATCATCGAATGCATGTCTATGCCTCTTAAGCTAATTTTTTCTCCAATTTGAAAGTTTTGGGTATAGAAGTAGCTTTCTATCTCAATTAGTTATATTTGAAGCACTTCAATAAAACTAAGTTAAGAGTATACAAACAACTAATATGCTATAAGTAATAAGTTTGAAATGCCATGTAGTAGTAATACAAATGGTATTTTTAAGCACTGAAAACATTTTTTTAACTGTCGCGAATTAGTATTTGAAGTCGCCGATTAGTTCGAGGATTTCGTGGATAAAATTTTGAAAATCTCTGCAATTGCTTCACTTTGTCAGCTTTCACCTCGTTCGTGTCGGTCACCTCCACTTCGTGCCCTTCCAGGAGTATGACCATCCTGAACTTCCAAGGCAGCAAAGCCATCGAACAGCGGCAGCAACATACGACCGAATTATTCCTCCTCCTTGGAGAAAAAACTGCACTTCCGATACTAATCCGATAAAGTGCGACCGTGCGAATGCCCCGTAACGTGGGTAGATCACCTTTTCGTGGTACGTTACGGGATGTAAGATCTACCACCGATTCCTAGTCTTGACTACTTCAAACTAGGGGAACAGGATTTTACAGTAATCAAAGGAACACATCTTAGTCCTTGTTACTTTTTATGCCTTGTTGATAGTGATAAGTCCTCGGGTTGCGTGGACCGAGGATGATCTTGAAACAAGGAAAAAATGAGTTAGTTAGTCTTCACCTATGTGATTCCTAATCTTCTATTCGTTGTTTCCTAGTTTGAAGTGGTTAAGACTAGGGTTCTGATGCATGGTCATTATCGGTGTCATGTCTTGTTTTTTTTGCTAAGGAATCCAATTTTGACTGACAAAGGGGCGCGCCTTTGGAGGGTGTTTCAACATTCCGAAGGGTATAAATAGCGGGACCTTTCAATTAGAATCGATTCCTTGCGATAAAGGCAAGAATGACAACTGTATCAAAACCGAATACTTCATCATTTCTCAATAGTGATGGAGTAATACGACATGCACTAAACTAAGGACACGGGATATACTACAATAGATCAAATTACTGGTCGCAGTGGTTTTATGTCCCGAACAGAGGAAAAAAAAAAAGTGCGACCGGGCCCAAAACTTGAAGTGGTTTCAGATAAACAGGGGAAAATTATCTGTGAAAAACCCGCATTTTAATGGGCAACTAGAGTACAGTGGTTACACTCTTAACAGTTGTTCCTCAAGAGAGCGCAGAACAGCGAGAGAATGCGTAAATGCTCTTAACTCGATTAACTACCAGAGCTGGGTTTCGACGATTCAAATCAATTCATCAACTCACTTGAATTCAATTGGCTTGAAAAGTAGAGCTTGGTCCAACTTTTTTTCAATTCAAGTGAGTTGATCAAGTCAGTTGAATGGCATGGCTTACACGTTCAATTCGTGTTCAAGTTAGTTGAATTCAACTGACTTGATCAATTGACTTGCCCTGTCTAAGCCCAGCTTAAGGATCTGAACCATTTGTCGATTTTTTTTTAACTTTTGGTTAAAATTTGACAGATGGAAAGTTATCGATTAAACCTGCTATCCGAGCATGGTTATTTCTGACAGACAAGAAGTTAAATTTTGACAACCGTGGATCAAAAACCGGTCGATCGATGACACGGGGATTTTCGAACATAGAAAATAACTTCCGAAATGTCACTTTTAACCACGAGATTAATTTAACTCGGCAAATGGATAACAGCCTAAGTGAATCGTTTGCGGCTCAGAATATTAAATGAGTAGTGAACTTTTTGTGTCATTAAAATTTAAAAACGATTTATTTGCAGGATAGGCCGAATTGAGGGGCTATACGTGTTACCTGATTCATAACGAACATACATACTTTGTATCTGCATAGAATTTGCAGTACAAAATTAGACGAGGTCATATTCCCCCCTAATAGCGGTGCCGGTGGTGTAGTGGTAAGCGTTATTGCCACTCACCCTAAAAGGCATGGGTTCCATCCCAGTAGGCACCGTCGAAATTTTCTAAGGCATAAAATCTTTGATCACGCCTTCCTTTGGAAGGGAAGTAAAGCTGTTGGTCTCCGATCCAGGAGTTGATGGGTCGAAAGGTAGGGTCCAGGTGTGGGAGCTCCCTCCCTGGCGTCGGTAGCATTGGCACTCAGTACGGAAAACAAATCAACGCAAAAAAAAATCTCCCGGATTTACCGTATATTCGTTATGAGTCAGGTAACATAGTAGTTTACATCCCGTAGCCCTAAAGGTTAAATTGTGACTTTAAACAATTTCTTTCAATGCCATTTCATTCGGATCATAATCTAGACAAAGCACAACTAAAGGCAGGTTGCATTAATTATTTTATGATTTTTTTTTATCTCATTCGTAATTTTGCTTCATTTTTTACAAAATAAATAATTTATTTACATTAGAAAATATCCTACTATACGATAAGGGCCTTATTCGACGTAAACTGAGTAGAAAAAAGGAATTGAAGGATAAGGGAGTATGCAGCTACAGCACTAGCATCTGAGCAAAGGTACAACTCAGCAAATGGGTTCAGATGGATGATCTGATTTTTAGGAGAAAAAAAAAATATAACTAAACGACGACGACTTGTTTTGTGGGATGATGATGACTGGGATGATGATGATGATGATGGAGGAAAGGATGAAATGGGCTAGCATCCTAGAAGTTAGGATCATAATCTCGATAGTATCGTCGCGAGTTCGTATTGTAGTGACTGCTGGGTGGTGGCGGGGCATGATGGTACGGTGGATACATGGCCATCACCGGTGGTGGTGGCTCGTGCATCATGAAAGCCGCATCGGGTAACCGGTGGTGATGATGGTGACCGGACGGCGGGTAGTGCGAACCCTTTAGGTTGTAGTCGTCGTAGTAGTAGTTATCGTTATTGGGCTGACGTTGCGAGCGCCAGCTATCGTAGATATTCGAGGCACTGCTGCCGTGCATGGAGTTGGAGAAGCGCTGCTTGGATGAGAAATCATGATTATTAGTGAGCGGGTCGAGAGAAAATCAAAAACAAACCTTTGGTTTCACATCGTGCCCATGGTCATCCCACGCATCATCCAGATTGTACAGATCTTCCGAGCCAAAGTTGTCTATGCCTCCCATGTGGTTCTTATTCAGCTCGTTTAGCATGTCAGCTGTCAGTGGCGTTGGAGCCTTCTTCTTGGCTGCCTTTTGACGATTTATTAACTGAAATAAAATGGGATGCAGTCCGTCAAATCTGGTTCGTTGGATACAAATACGATATGTTACCACAGTGACGCCGAAAAGGATCACGAATAGAAGCGATGCCATTCCAATGACAATACCGGCTATTGCCCACTGGGGTAGCAGAAGATCTTCCTCCTCCGAATCTACCGGTGGAAGAATCTGTTTCGGGATAACTAAAACAAAACAAATCCGTTCAGAAACCCACAACAAGCTACAGATCTAATAAAATCATCTCACCGGTGAAATCAGTAGAAACCGGATCGACCTTGAATCTACCCAACAAGAAGACCTCCTTCACGCGGGGAACCGCCGATTGTAAGTTTTCCTTCGTCCGTTTCTTCTGCACCTGCGAATCTCCATCATCTTCTTCGTCCAAATCCGTGCTAGGCTCAGCAGTGGTAGTTGGCAACGGTGCGGGCATCAACGCATCGTGGAAAAGTCTCCTAATCTCCAGCGTGTTGACGTCCTCAGTTAGATCAGTTAACTCAACAAAGTAATCCACCAGTACGCTACCCTTGTTAAAGCTGTCGATGCGCACCTTCTTGTACCACTTGCTAAGATTCTGAGCAGTGCTGTAGACTTCGTTCAGTTGAGCCTCAACTTCCTTTGCCAGATGTTTCCATTCAGCAGTATTGTGATCGAGCAGCTCCGGTACCCAGTTGACGCCGTCAACAATGCGAATCGTACCGGCCAGGTCACACTCCGAATGGCACAAACCTGGTTCCGTTGGTCTGAAAGAAATTACGTGATTAGGACGCATCAACAAGCCACTAGGAGATTTTCTGCACTTACCTATGCGTTGTGGTTGTAGTGGTTGTGGTCGTAGTAGTTGTCGTTGTCGTAGTAGAGGAAGCTAGAATCTTCTCTAACAGTTCTTGCTGTTTCTGTTGTTCGAGAAGTTTTTCGATCGAAAGTGGGGTCGTTGAGGGTGTTGGCCAGCCGGTGAATTCGGTTGTGGCTCGGGTAGGCGGTCCCTTTCGGATAATTATATCGGGAGTCCCTGGTCCCTCGGCTAGGAGTGGTTTCAGAGTGGTAATACGGCCCACGCCTGGTTTTTTGACGCCCGGTCGACTTGGGAATACAACCTTAAAGCTGTTTCCAGAGTTTCCAGTATTACTGGTGGGGCCAGGTGATTCAAGATTCGTTTTGTTAAATCCGGTAGGAAGCAATGACGAGACATCCTTGAACTGGATCTTGCTCAGTAGGCTTATGGGATCGATGACCTCTGGTACAGGTATTTTCTCTTCGGCAGAGGGCTTGTAACCCGGTGGAAGGAACTTATTGATATCTTCGCTGAAAACAATGGAAGCTTTGGTGGATGTTTCCTGCTTTGGATGCTTGTAACCCGGTGGAAGTAACTGACTGATATCATCGTTGAACACTACTTTGGGTTCATCTTTGGGTGGCTTGTAACCAGGAGGAAGGAACTTGGCATCTTCGCCATCGATAACGGACGAAGCAGTGGTAGTTGGTTTCTTTGTTGTCTTGTAGCTCTTGTAGCCCGGAGGGAGCAGTTTGCTCACGTCGTCTTCGATAACAGACGACTTTGGAGCCTTCGTGCTTGGACCAGATTCTGCGGGTGGCTTGTAACCAGGTGGTAAGAAAGAGCTAATATCAACTTTCTGCGCCTTTTTGAGTACATCCAAAGTACCGTTTGCTTTCTCATTAACCTTGACCTTGCTGATCAGTTCCTTCAAGTTGTTCGTTGTCTTGACTTCCTCTTCCGTACGATTCAACCGGTAGTCCTTCGGCAGAAGTGAGCTCAACTCTTGCACAGGAACGTTACTCTTGTACGATCGACTTATGTTCGCTGGACGGAATCGGTTTCCGATCTCTGGCTTCAATGGTTCTTCATTCAAAACGTCCTTGGCAGCAGCTAATGGCTCAGAAGTTGTACTGCTCGCTCCAAACTTCTTCAACTTAAAAGCATTCTTTTGTTTGTAGTCCGGTGGAAGCAGAGCAGCAATATCATCTACCGCGATGGCTTCAAAATTGATTTTCTTCACTATGTTATCAGTACTTGGCGTTGGTCTCTGGGATGTTGTGAACACTGGTCGTGGTTTCTTGGTGGTGGAAGCTCTACCATTTGGTTGGAACTTTCGAATAACAACCGGAGGTAGTGACGAGTTCGGAACTTTGCTGTCTTCGGTAACCATTTCCTTCAATACTGGGAACTTTCCGGTGAGTACACCACTCGATAGTTCAGACTGAACTCTATCCAGTTTGTCGATGATACTTTCGGTAGACTGAGCATTCAGTGTTTTCTCAGTTGTCGGAGTTTCCGAGTCGTCCGTTACTGAAATGACTGGTTCTTGTGGAGCAACAGTAGTCTTTTCTACTTCTTGACTGCTGACAGTGGTCAAATCTAAGTCATCATTCTCGTTGCTGTTCTTGGCATCAAGCTCCGACAAACTTTGCTTCTTTTCATCCTGTTCAACCTGAGGGAAGGGTAAGAATCGAGCACCTGATACACTTCTACTAGTTTGCACTGAAGCCACCACAACCCAACTTTCGGTAGTCACATTCGAGGATGCTTCCGATTCCATTGAGCTACTGACCGGTCGCTCCGACGTAGTGCTTGGTTCGGAAGTTGTCGATTCCGTAGATGTAGTCGGTGTTGTACTGGTCGTAGAAGTTGGCACAATTGGAACAGCACTCGTGGTTTCTGCTACATTTTCTATCGATACAGGAGCGACGGCCGGTTCTTCTATCGCATCTTCTTCCGAGTAAAGCAAGGTGTCGATATCATCGGGTTGATCTTCAACTTCCGTTCCTCTGGCAGGTTTGACCTCCGGTTTCACAGTCGTACTAACTGCTGGTTCTTCAGCATCGTAAACGTACTCATCATCATAAGCCGAATCGGCTTCCTTTTTGTCCTCCTTAGCCGGTGAAACTGATGATACTTCCTTTTTAGGTTCCTCAGTTTCCACTTCTTCTTCTTCTTCTTCTTCGTATTCCCCATCAAGGATCTCCTCCGATCCAGAATTCGACGAGTAGAAGTTATCAGTCAGAATCACTGTATGATCTTCAATCTGTTCGGCATTGCTGGTTTGACTATCGCCTTCCTTCACCACGTCGTAGTATTCATTCTCGTTGATGTTGTTCAAACTACCACCCCGATCTTCGTTCTCGTACGCCTTCGTAGTTGTACTGGTAGGAGCGCTGCTCGTAGTGCTCACCGCTACCTCCTGTTCATCCTTTCCTTTCTTTGGATTGTTCTTCTGCGCTTGCGATGGCTTAAAATCTTTGATATCTTGCTGTTCGTCAACAAACTCGTTCGTATCCTTACCATCTTCAGCGTAATCTTCGTAATCGTAGATAACCTCCGCCGACTTGGCCGATCCGTTATGTGTGATGTTGATCGAAGGAATCACCGGACGGGCTGGCAGGTGGATGAACCGAGATTGGCTCGCCGATTTCGGCGTGGTGGATGTTGTGGTGGTGGTAGTTGTTTTTGGCTTGGCCGAATTGATGATGGGACCACGAGGGGTAGTGGCGCTATTCAGAGGGATGACCTTTTTGGAGTCAAATGCTGGGCGGTACGTGTTGGGTGCAGGTGTTCTGAGGGGGAAAAACAAGGGATTAATAATTCAATCAATTTGCATTGGATGCGTCGGAATTATCAACTATGGATACAGTAATGACCCGATTTTGTTAGCCCCCTTGTTGAACGCATACGCTTTTTCAGTGGCTTTATTTGTATCACTATTCCTTAAACATCTACCATGAAGATTTTCTTTTTAATATAGTCACTTTAACACTCTTGGGTCATTAGTTTCATGTCCGGAATGAGATTTGAACTCGTGATATAGGCGTGAGAGGTATGGATGTTAACCACCACGCCATAACCGTCCCGAGCAATCTTGAAGATAAATGAGAAAGATTTGGAATTACGGAGAACAAGTCGAAAAACTGCTAAGTGAAACATTTTGATATCCCTGTCTCATTCAGATCGCATTGAAAGTAGTTAATTTTAATTAAAAAAACTAATTAAAAATCTAAGTGGAAAAGTAGTTGTTTAAAAGGCTATAGTTTGTCAAACGATATGGCCGTGTGGCTGTCAAACTCATGTGTGTCGACGCACACTGACACAATGACTTGTTGATAATTAGGGCATCCTTAGCAGCGATTCAATTGGCTGGTTTGGTCTGCATTTTGTTTTGGACTAGATCTAAAATGTAATTTTTTTAAACCAGTATAATTCTCGATCTATTTTGAACTGAATTTGGATCAAGACAAGCACTGTTCCAAACCAGTTTGACAGTTGTCTCATTCGATTTTTGTTTTGTTTTCTGTCAGTGTTGGGATTTCTTATGCAAAACAAACCGATTTATTTCCTCGATTTTCCCTGAAACGAATGTGGTTCCATCAAAGTTGTAATCGTAAGCGAGAAACATTCGACTGCTGTTGCTGCCGAAACAGCAGGAACTTTGCTGGACGGGACAAAAGGTATCGAAAAGCGGGTATCGAGCGGCTACTTTCTACCAGTGCTGTGGCAGCACCAACGAGCTGGGAACCGACTTTGTAGTGCTCGGTAAGATGCGCCAACGCGCAGGATGTGCAAGTTGAGGATTAAGGGCCGTTTCTACGTGCACTACCCACACGAAGGGAGACCCGACGACGAGAAAGAAGCGTTTTATACAACGACTATTTGCAACGGGACGTCAAAATCGTCATCGGCGATATGATCACTCAGGTAGGACGGGAGGCAATGTACAGACCGGCAATCGGGCCAAACAGCCTGCATGCCGTATCTAACGACAACGGCCAACGATTCGTTGCAGCCTCCAGTGGTGTGGTAGTCCGAAGTACGTTTTTCCCCCACAATAATATCCACGAAGCCACCTGGAGATCAACTGACCAACACACAGAAAACCAAATCGCTCACGTTCTAATCGACGGGAAATTCTTCTCCGACATTCTCAACGTTTGCACGTACCGCAGTGCGAACATAGATTCGAACCACTACCTAGTTGCAGTATGCATGCGCTCAAAACTCTCGACGGTTCATAATACCCGTCGAAGTCGAATACCGCGACCCAACATTGAGCAATTACGGGACGCCGGAGTTACCCAGGATTACGCGCAGCAGCTGGAAGCTGCACTACCCATGGAAGAGCAGCTTGGCGCAGCTACTCTTGAAGATGGCTGGAGGGACATCCGTTCAGCCATAGGTAGTACTGCTTCAGCAGCACTAGGTACTGCGATCCCGGACCGAAGAAATGACTGGTATGACGGTGAATGCAAACTGTTAGTAGATGAGAAGAATCAGGCACGCGCGAGAATGCTGCAGAACCGCAAGAGATTGAATCTGGAGCGATACAGACAAGCGCGGAACAGACAAAACTCTGTTTTTCGAAGGACGAAGCGTCAGCAGGAAGACCGACATCGCGAGGCGATGGAAAATATGGACCGCTCAGACGACACACGGAAATTATACGAGAAGCTAAACCGCGCAAAGGCTACGTGCCGCCAGCCGATATGTTCAAGGACTTGGACGGTAACCTTCTCACGAACGAGTGTAAGGTGATTGAGAGGTAAAAGCAGTACTACACACTTAGTTCTTTTCTACCGAGCTCGGTTGTGCAAATCTCGGCCAAGATAAGTTTCACTGAGATCTCAGCAAAAGTGACATATGAGTCTTAGCAAACAAATGAAAATCTCAGTAAAACTTTTTTGTCGAGATTTGCACGGCCGAGCTCGGTAGAAAAAACTAAGTGTGTATGACGAGCACCTCAACGGTGATGCGGCAGAAAAATAAGATGGCACGGCAACAGACCTTGGAGCGCGCACAGAAGACGACAGGCTACCGGCCCCTGATGTTCAAGAAGTTGAGGAGGAGATCAGTCGGTTGAAGAACGGTTAAAATACAGTAGTGAAGCACTGGCTAGAGCGCTGCACTTGGTAATTGCCAAGATTTGGGAGGAGGAGACATTACCGGAGGAATGGATGAAAGGTGTCTTATGCCCAATCTACAAAAAAGAGCACAAGTTGGATTGCTGCAACTACCGCGCGATCACACTGCTGAGCACCGCCTACAAGGTACTCTGTCACCAATTGCAAGAGAGTTCGTGGGGCAATACCAGGCGGGATTCATGGGTGCCCGCTCTAGCACGGACTAAATTTTCGCGATTCGGTAGGTTCTGCAAAAATGCCGCGAATACAACGTGCCCAACCTAGCAATGAGCGATCTTGGATTGAAACACAAAAGATCGATTCTTTTGGCTCGATTAAAAGATTTTTTGAATCTATCCCAAACACCTTCAAATTCAATCCTTTTCATTCGATTTTTGTTTCGAACCAAAAAGAAAATTTCAGTGCATATGCATTTGCAATTTCATATTGATATTTTTGCCTTCACCTTTGCACATCACTTGCCTTGAACATGGATTCTGCCAAACAACCAGTGTGACAGTTCAGTAGGCAAGAACGAGAAAGAGAAAGTTTTGGGCTCCAGAGATGATTATAGACCTTTAAGGCGCCTTATAGTCTTTCTATATCTAGCACACATGGATGAACGGACGGTTTGTTTTCCCACCAATCTGTTTCCCTTTTCCCCTGACGTTGAGCTGGTGGATACATTTACTATTGCAACGATCCTTGATCCCCGTTTCAAGACACTGTACCTGGAGTCTTCAGCTCACGCTCGGGCAGTTAAAATTGTGTCTGAGCAGATCTATAGTACTGAAAAAGTATACGATGATATGCACACATCTATCCCCTCACTAAAACCAACCGGAGGCCTGTGGGATATTCATGACAAAATGGTAAAGAAAGTTATTAATCTACATATGTACAAACATTCACTTCTTATGACATATTTCAGGTTCATCAGTCCTCTGTTATGTCAGAACGGGATCGCCATGTGGGCATACCGGCAGAATTACAAAATTTCTTGCATCAGCCTGTTTTCCCTACGTTCAGTCGTTCCTTTTCAAGCATGAGAGAAAATCCGTAGTGAATATCTCCATGTATACCCCATATTTCTCAAGACTATTTATCAAGAATGGTAACAAGTGTTCCGTCAGAGAGGCATTCTCTAAAACTGGTGAAACCACACATAATCGATATCGGCTCAATGCAAAACGCATGGCGCAATTAGCTTTCTTGTGGTCCTTTTCGGATGAGTGTTGGGATATCTGAATTAAGTACTTTCCGTACATACTTGCTTTTACACTCCGCCCATCTAATCGTTTTGTTTCATATGTTAATCTTTCGTTTTTTAAATCGTTCATTTTATACCAATAAGCCGAATATTATAACCTGTTAAATCACTCGCGTAATCAAGTAACCGAGTAAAAACTTCCACATGTAAAATGAAATCAAAATAGTCATTTACTATATTCTCATCATGTATGTATGTTACACTCACAACTTTTACTGCGTACGTACTACGCAATTTATTTCTAAATTATATCAATCATCTCACTAAATTACTATTATAAGTGAAATGTCATAACAAGATAGCTTATGTAACGTAATATCAACTTTAGACTGAACTTGGCGTTAATTTGCACCAACTTTCCTATGATCCTTCTTCTTCTTTTATTTCGCATAACAAGCTTATTGCTGATCGCATATAAGCTTATTGCGTGCTCTAAACTTAGTGTTCTAAATGCGCTTCCATAGTTATTAATTGAGAGCTTTCGATGCCAAATACCAATGCATGAATTTGTACATTGTGTGGCAAGCACAATGATACTCAATGCCCAGGGAAGTCAAGAAAATTTCCAACTCGAAAGATTCCCTCGATCAGACCGGGAATCGAATCCGCCGCCTCCGGCTTGGTAATACCGCGCCTTTAGTGACTAGGCTATGAGGCCCCTATGATCCGCTCTATTTGAAACATTTTTGTGCCATTTTGAAAAATGAATCGATTCAAAAGATCGATTCAAAATGATTGATTAAATCGACGAAACGTTTATTTTCATAAAAAATAATCGATTCACTCCGATCGATTCTTGCCTTAAGATCGACCAATGCAATGTACATAATTTTTTCATCGATTTCAAATCCGTATACGACACAATCGATCGAGATCAGCTATGGCAATTTATGCACGAGTACGGATTTCCGGAAAAACTGACGCGATTGGTCAAGGCGACGATGGATTGAGTGATGTGCGTTATTCGAGTATCGGGGACACTTTCGAGTCCCACTGAATCTCAAAGGGGGTTACCGCAAGCTGATGGACTCTCGTGTCTGCTATTCATCATCGCGTTAGAAGGTGTGATAAGAGCTGGGATATACGCGAGTGGCACGATCTTCAGAAAGTCCATCCAGCTTCTTGGCTTCGCCAATGAAATCGATATCATGGCACGGAACTTTGAGACGATGGAGGAAACGTACACCGTGGCCATGGATCGAGTAGAGTGGAGACGACTTCTTCTGACAGCATTAGTAGGTGGTAAGTAAGGCGTCTGAAGACTATTTTTAGGTAATATAATAGACTATAAAAATACACTGAGAGAAAAATCACAGTACAATTATGTTTAAAATTTAAATTGATACTTTTTTTCAAATTATCCCCCTTCTATTTTTTTTGTGATGAATGCTAAAGCTGTATTCTCAAATCTGGTGTAGAACGCTAGTTGGTAAAATGATTAAAACAAATTTTTTTAAATTTATTTGTTGTTTCTATGAGATCTACATCACAAACGAATTTTACATACTTTAGTTAAATAATACCAAAAACAATTTTTGCAAAGGTCTAATTTGAAGATTTATTTTTCAATGCAATACAAATTAAAAACGAATCGAAGCATCTATTTTTTGTATTATTATGTATTATGTTATACTCCACACCAGATTTGAAGGCATGATTTCAGCATTATTCAGATAAAAATATGAAAAATGTAAGGATAGGTCTTTGCAGAAAATAAGCAATTTTACTTTTAAACATGATTTTACAGTGATTTTTCTCTGAGTGTATTTTTTATAGACTACCCAAGCAACATTGCAAGTTTTATCGCGGGTTTATAGCATTCTACAAGTCTAAATCATGGTCTACAGAACCCTCATAAAAGCTAAATTGTTACTGGTTACTGGTATATTGTTACCAGCAACTTCATATCAAACAAACGTCATTTGGTTCACATGTTACAAGTTATGGATTTTTGAAATACCTGATCCCATTTTTACACAGGCCCTTATTAAAAATTGGTCCGGATAAATTAACATTTTTTAATCGAAATTAATCATGTTACCATGCTTCTGCGTTAATTTTCCTTCACATGTCACCACTGTTCTTAATGGTGATATCTATCAAAAATTACCCATTCACTTAGTTCCGTTAATTGTTATCAGAGGGCACCCAACAAACATTGAATGTTGAATGAAAATAACCAAGTGTACTCCTAATAGCTACGTTACATTCACATATGTTAAGATATTTTAACCAAATTTATGCTTTGGCCCAATATCACCTCACCTAAGGTTTAAAATTGGTCTATTTTTTCTTAAATTTTATTAAAATGAGATATCATTTTTTAATCAACCGTTTCCATGAAAGTCATAGCTATATCATTGATGAATATAATCACATGCCTAAAATTGTTTTCTATGCTAAAATGTGAATGTTGTAAGGTAGGGAATGAAGCTTTTAGAGTTTTTGACACCCTCACTTAAGGTACAGAAATGTGCATGAGTTTTCCGAAATGTCTAGTACACTGGGTGTACATACTATTACAGAAGTCTTTGGTTTAAGCCCTGACTTGGATGCTTATAAATAAGAGTTTTTTTCCGCACGGGTTTTTTTTAACTAGTTCGTTTATATACTAGGCTCAGTCGTGTGTGACACTTTGCGGTTGCCTTATCGCTTACTTCAATTGCTATTAAACCAAATCAGGCATTGACAGAAATTTTCACTAATTAAAACAGCAAAATTATCCACGAAAGGAATGATAATCATAATGGACATTCCTTGTACCACCTATTGAATCTACATATCGATTGTTCAGTCGGTCAAGTTTTCCAACAGAATGTCTAGGGCATCACCCCACAGTCCATTGTCCTCGTCTAATCTAATCTGAAAATTCCACCTCTAAAGGAAACCCGGGCTTGAACTCACCGTCCAGCGAAGCGATTCCTCAGCACCACGCTCTCAACCGTAGTACTTTTGGCAGTGACCGGATCAGCCGTAGTCGTAGATCGGATTCGATTAGGCTTCAACGTGGGCTTGGTGTACCGGCTGCTACTAGTGCTGCTGTTGCTGCCATTTCTGCTACCGTTATTTGTCTCGTTCTGATGATGCCTGCTGCTGCTGCCACTTCCACCCAGGTCTTCCGATTTCGATCTGAAACTGTTCCGCCCGGCCGATGGTGGAATCCGCTGCTGCTGCGAGGATGAGGAGGAGGAGGAAGAGGTTTGCCTTTGTTGTGCCGCCGTCGATCCCAGGAAACCGCGTGTCGGTTGCGACGAATCTTCATTGCCGAATGGACGCGGTCGGTTCGAGATGTACGATAGGTGCCGATCACGTCCTGCCGTTTCCGTCGCCAGTGGACGCTGCAAGTGTACGAAAAAAAAAGAAAGATTAGATTCCGTAGTGAAGAAGTGAGAAAGCGAAATTATTTAAATACTCTCGTTTGAATCGAATGCATTCAACGAGTGCAGTTGGGTAGACGAAGGTGATTTGCATTAACAATTCATTCCATTCATTCGCACCGTGCTTGGCTTTATGGTAGAGTACTGCTTGAAGTAAAAGGAAATGGAAGCGCATCAGCACTTTCGTAATATCGATCAAAGAGTGGTAAGCAAACTTCATCGTGTATGAAAGTCAGGGTTGGCTTCGGCGTCACCCTTGCCGGCGAAGCACTGTAGTAGCTACTTAAACTGTTTTGAATGCATCCCGCCGATCGACCGAAGGTTGGAAGTCGTGATAATCGAATAACCGTAAAAACATAATAAACAATCCCTTGGAAACAATCTCCAACATTGTGCCCTCTGGTAGCCAAGCAACCAAGAATGTTCCTACCCTAGATGTGTGCATACCAAATGCTTGGATCAAGGCCCCGCTCCACCTCATAGCTTGATACCGTTCGAGCCACTAATCGTCAGTCGACACTTAACCTCCAAATAGTTTCGTGCCCGCCGCGCAGCAATTAGATTAAACTGCAGGGCTTAATATGGAACCCGTCACTTTCGTGCCTAACCGTAAAAGCCCCCTTTGTTGTTCGCAAGTACGTGTAACTGTCAATCTGAGCGCACCACACCTGGATGGAACCACCAGTCATAAACTGGACCGTGGCCACAGCGGCTTTCATAATCTACAACCAGACATTGCACACTGTGTGTCATTTTTGGCAATGCCTTTCCCTTTGCCCATTTAAGCGTGGACATTTGTGCGTACCTTGCGCGCCTTCACCGTGAATAGATTAATGGCAGGTTAAAAAGTCGCTAGTCACACTGGATTTATAGCATTTCCGAAGGTTACGTCACGCGATCGTTCAATGTTCTGTTACCGGCTGCTGTGCTATTGAGATGTTGGTTATTTTGTGGGTCTTAACCGAGCCGAGACAAGGTCGATGCCAATGATGTTAGGGGCCATATAACAAAGGAAATAACCGTTGTTTTCGGGGAGTGTAGTTGAACGGATTTATTGTTTTGGCTTGGGTTGACTACTGCTTCTGTGTGAACTTGAACGAGAGGAGTTGTTCCGTTCAGATCCAACCTGAACTGGTTACTGTTAGTTACTTTGTGACCTGGTATTGCTATGGGAATTAAGATCAACCGCTGTGGAAAGCTTATTTCTGATTGATCTTACTATCACCTAGAAATTTCAAAAGCACAAATATCAGTTCCCACAAAACTTACATCACGGGAGTTCCAATTTTATGAGCGATGTTGCAGCAATATCCAAGTTTTGTGCTCTAGAAAACTTGAAGTGATAGGGCATATCAGCCATTTGTGGAATAAATGTTAAATCAGTTTTTATGATCTATAAATCTATGCGAAAAAAAACCCTATAGGGTAGAGAACTACTTCGTCCTAATCGCCCATTTTGAGAAAGCGTGATATGAATGTTTGCACCCATTATTCCCAAAAACAAAAGAAGCGCTCCGACCGAAACAATTTCAATCTTCATCCGATAGTCCGAAGTGAATTCATAGGCGTTTGAATAGCGTTTCAATTTGTTATGCCGACTTTAGAATCCCTGGGGTCAAGAAGCAGTGTTAGATTTTTAACAATATCTCAACAATTTGATTATCTTCATCAAATCTTACGGTACGTACGGAAAGGTTAATAAACTTAGAAGTCGTATGTAGTGAAAACATTCCATTTTGCGAAAAACATCCACTCGAAAAATAGAGGCAAAAGGCCGGTTTTTCTTAGTAGGCTCAAAATTAGATCTAAGCAATATGTTATTAAATTTTCGAACAATAAAAACAGTGATTAATTTATTTGATGTGGATCATACCCAAACATTTGTATGGAACCTGCAAACAATACTAAATCATAGGTTTCAAACGTCATATTCTTAAAAAAAAATACCTGCGATCGAGCACAGGATAAAAGTCTAAAAAAAAGTTAAATCCCTATTTAACCAACTTTCCTTCCGGTTTATTTTATCTCTTTCATGGTTTTCCGACAGATTCGACAGATTTCTTATATCATCTGTATATGTTTCTTATAACAAATGTAGAGACAGTACTTACAATCGACTGAAGCTTACAGCATGTTTTTCCAGAATAAATATTTTCTGTTAGAACCTTTACGATATGATTTTCAAGCTGCAGTGCGTTTGGAAAGACAAACTATGTTCGAAAATGTATCTAATAGGGAGGGTGGGGGTAAAACATCCATGCTAAATTATATATTCGTTTAACCCACAAAGCGAAACTGTATTTAAGTTCAATGCCATCAAAATGGTGTTTCAGACTCTTCTATTGAATTTCTATGGTTCACGCCTGATGGTTATGCTTTCCACACTACTATTTACGGGGCGCATTATTCCCCCAGTTAGAGTAATAAATAGTAATGTTGAAAGTAAATACTATTTTTCTAATAAACATACCAGGATATACCTACCAACTAGCATCAATCAAATAGTTTATTTTTGGTAGTGTTCAGAGATACCAGCTTTCTCATGTTTGTTTAGAAATCACTTTTCATGTTTGTTTTTTTGCTAAAAATTGTTTTTTTTTTCAATTTTGTAAATTTCAATTGACTTTCATTAATCAGGTTTGTGCTTACATTCTCATAGAACGTTTAAAGTTCAACGTAGGCCAGCATTCATCTGGTAATGGAAATTAGTTCCAATTTTATTCGCAAAGATGGTGCTGCGATACTAACTTTCTTATTTCACATGATAGAGGTTCTATGTCTTCAGCAAAGTTGTAGAAAATTGTTATTATATAAAATTATATGTCCGGCAAACTTTCACCTTTGATCGATGATAAATGGTACATTTCAGAAAGTAAATGACTTTTTGCTAATACTTGCTACTTTTCGAGAAACCGGATTATGAAAATCATTGTAGTTTTCACTATTTTGACTAATATTTCGCTTGTATCGACCCAAAACATTGCGCACGCTTCCTTAAAGCTTGAAAATTATCCGACTTAAAAGATACACGGCGTTAAAAATGAAGTATTTGTCGTTTGTATGGAAAATAGTACAAAAAACGTAAATTTCAGTTAAATTTTACAATATTCACTATATCTTTGTTATTTGAAGACCTAGAGCTTTGAGTTTTTCGGCATGTTTTTTATACTTTTTAATGTTATACAACTTTTCCCAAGACATAAAACCTCTATCATGTGAAATAAGAAAGTTAGTATCGCAGCACCATCTATGCGGATAAAATTGGAACTAATTTCCATTACCAGATGAAGGCGCATGTTAAACCGAGAAACTTTACGAAAGACACCATTTCAATATAATGCAAACCTAATGCGCTAGAGGTTTTGTCTTGTTAATTTCGGTTCCTGGCCCAGTGTGCATTGCTGTTTTCCTTTGTTTCCTGTTAACTGTGGCATTTCACACTTAATTAAGGTTTTCAATAGAACATTAATACTGTTATGCCCAGGGCCGCCTTTGCATCCTTGGGGGCCGCCTTTGCATCCTTGGGGGCCTCCTATGATTTGTAAAATATCTATATATATGAAAATGAATTTCTGTCTGTCTGTCTGACCCTTATAGACTCGGAAACTACTGAACCGATCGGCGCGAAAATTGGTATGCAGGGGTTTTTGGGGCAAGGAAAGGTTCTTATGGTAGTTCTATACCCCTACTCCCTCTGTAAGGGAGGCTCCCATACAAATGAAACAGAAATTTGTGCATAACTCGAGAACTAATCAAGCAAATGGAACCAAATTTTGCATTTGGGAGGTCATAGCGGGTAGCCCCTTATATAAGAGGGGGGGGGGGCTATGTACAATATAGCAATCTTTTTTTTAAATGCCGCATACACTCAAGCTAATATTGAATCCCGAGCAAGGCCGGACACACTCAGCTAGTATAATATTAAAATACTTGCGACAAACCTTACTCGTAATAAAATTTGTTCTAAGATACATTTAATCTTACTAAACTCAATCTGTTTACGACTCCTCATGCTTGCAAATGTGTTAATAGAAGCGTTGATATCAATTTTCAGAAAAATATCTTACTCAATATTCCGTAATCAGTAACCAATTAAGTCTGGTTTATAGCATCCCTTAATTTTTCCCCCTCATATTAATCTAGCTTGAGCAGCTGGTTGAAAGAAATATCGTGTGGGGTATTCCCACATTTGGGAAAACCAATTTTCTTAATAGTAATTTTGAATTTATCATAGCCTTAGAGCCCATGATTTGGACTTATAGAATAGAATAAAACCTTGATAAAACTAGCAATGCTACTTGGTATCTGTCCATAAGTCGATACTTAACAGCGAATTTAAACGAATATAATAATATGCTGTTGACATTCTCAAATCAATTGCTATACCTTCATGGTTAACTTGATTAATGCTATGACTGTTCATCTTTAGTGCATTTTGTAGACTACTTTCAAATTGCACGGGGAAGTTTTATTTTAAAACGACAGATGAAAAAGACTAACTGTATTTTTCAAGCTGCGTCCAGAATGAGAAAAAAAAGTTTATTTAAAAATCGTTACAACTCATCTTCTTCTGGTTTCTAGTTCTGACTAACTACAAAAAATTATATGACTCCCTGCGCTTTATTACGTATTAGTACATCCTCTCGTATGATGGCTTGTTCTGTATCGGGTTGGAACATTTTTATCATTGGAAGGACATTCTTCTTGCTTTCGTGGATCATACGTAAGTGCCTCTGCTTACGGATCAATCCTCCGTTTTTGGCCATTCATACAATGGTAAATTGAATACAACCAGGCATCGTACTTGATCAAGTCATACAAGGTCCACTATCTAATGGCTGTGCCCTGCAACAATGAGTGGTATCCTTTATATACGTACTAAAAATGAGATGACTTTCTAGTCATAGCGCATTGAAAAAAAAAACAAAAAACTTTGTTCAAACATTTTCCGAACGTAAACA